TAATTGTTTAATTATGTAATAATAATTAAATAAATGTGATATAAATATAAAATACCTAATTAATCTAACATGAAAAATTTTTTTTTACAAATTTTTTATAAATGCACCTCTTTATAAATGCACCCTATTGCTAATTCCCGAAGGGTGCATTTATAGAGGGTTGACTGTATTACAAGTATTCATCCATCTGTGAATTGATAATATAATTAAAATAAATAATAATGTAAATAATAAATATTAATAAATAATAAAAAATTTTAAACAAATTGATTGAAATTTTTACTTTAAAATAAATGAAAACAATTAATAACCATTGCAATATATAAAAGTTTTTTTTATTAAGGAAACGTCAAAAACAGTCTTAATGAATCTTAAAGCCAAAAACAAATTGCACCTATGATAAAAGTCTCATATCGGTTCCTTAAGAACTGAGCGATTACGAACGTTTTAACTTTAAAATTTAAAAATCTTAAAAAAATATTTTTGAAAATTAAAATGTTTGTAATCGCTCAGTTCCTAAGGAATCAGTCTGAAACTTTTATCACAGATGCATTTTGTTTTTGGCTTTAAGATTCATTAAGACTGTTTTTGACGTTTCCTTAATAAAAAAAACTTTTATATATTGCAACGGTAATTAATTATTTTCGTTTTTTTTAAAAAAATTAAAATTTAAGAATAGTTTAACTTTTTTTAAAAAAACGAAATAAATAATGACCGTTGCAACGTGTCAAAGTTTTTCTTTTATTAGGGAAACGTCAAAAACGTTCTTAATAAATATTGAAGCCAAAAACAAAATGCACCTATTATAAAAGTCTCAGATCAATTATTTAAGAACTGAATGATTACGAACGTTTTAATTTTCAAAAATATTTTTTAAAGATTTTTAAATTTTAAAGTTAAAACGTTCGTAATCACTCAGTTCTTAAAGAATTGATCTGAGACTTTTATCATAGGTGCACTTTGTTTTTGGCTTTAATATTCATTAAGACCATTTTTAACGTTTCTCTAATAAAAAATTTTTTATATATATTGCAACGGGCGCTAATTATTTTCGTTTTTTAAAAAAGTTCAACGGATAATCCGTGGATCGGATGGATAATCCATGGATTAGACGGATAATCCGTGGATAATCCGTATAACGGATGACGGATTGAAATTTGGATGGTATTACGGATTGACGGATTACACGGTTCATCCGGACTGTACCACTAGATTGAAATAAAAAAAAAAATCCGGAAACAATTATCAACCGTTTGTACATACAAAGTATTTTCTTTACTAATATATTAATAAAAATAATGCTAAGAAATATTAAAGCTAAGAATGTAGAGCATCTTATATAAAGTATGAGCAAATAATTAGTGATTAAATTCCAGAGAATAATTTTTGATATTAAATTCAATTCTTAAGAAAAATTATAAAAAGTTTACACAAGACGCTCTACATCTTTGGCTATATATTTAATTAATACCATATTGTAATTTTATCAGTAAATTATAAACTTTATATGTAAAAACAATTTTTGAATTTTTCTTTAATGTCAATGGCAAAATGATCGATAATAATGCCTTAGAAATTTGCGCGGTGGGCAAATTTATTGTCGATCATTTTATTGAGCAAACCTTTTATAATTTTTTCTTAAGAATTGAATTTAATATCAACGGCTGAACACCAAATATTCAAAAATTATTCTCTGGAATTTAATCACTAATTGTTTACTTATACTTTATATAAGATGCTCTACATTCTTTAATATTGCTTAGTATTATTTTTATTAATATATTAGTAAAGAAAATACTTTTATATGTATAAACGGTTGATAATTGTTTTTGAAATTTTTTTTATTACAATCTTCATTTTATTGAATTTCGGCCGTTTTTATTTAATTAGTAGGTACCTTCTATCTTATATCGAATTGTAGCCAGATACAATATCTACAACTTTAATTAGAACTATATTTTATGGTATCCATCTTTAATATCTATTATGTATTAAGTCCGGTATGAGTAATGATAAATGATTACATTTATTATTTTTTGTCAATTTTATTTGAAGTATAATTTCTCTACGCACGTGTAGGCATTAAAATTTTGACACAAATATATTATATGATAGCGGGGAATCTAATAAAAAAAATTTAAATTACGTGATTTTTTAAAAATTTTCAATACTTTTGATAGGTGAGTGTACACGTTATCAAGTATGCTATTTATATGGGGAAAAGAAAAGGGAATTACCACCGAAAATAAAAGGAAAAAATCGCGTAAACATCGTCTAAACAATAATACCCACAATATAGGGATTTAAAAGCACAATTAAAAGAAACAAATGTTACAATCACTAGAATATCGATAAAAGAATTTAATATTAATAATAATAGCATTTATAATCTTTTTTTTTTTGATATAGACAATAACGGGGGGTTGTGACCTATTAAGAACGATTTATCGTTCGCAGCGGATGTCCAGGCCGTAATGTAGTTCTTTATTCTAATTTTCGATAAATTCACGTTATAAATTCATTTGTAATCTGTTTTAATTATTTATGAATAAAGAAGAGACCTCGCTTGTCTTGTAAAAAAAAAATCAAGTATGCTATATACAGTAATTGCGCCATAGCAGAAAAAACTCATACTCTAAATTCTGAAATGAATAAGTTAAATACATATATATGGCAGAATTTTTAGGAATAAAACCTGAAAGTACAAAAAACTGTACGAAAAAAATGAAATAATACGGCCTCTTTCACTTCTTTCGTGCTATATCTTAACAATATAAAATTTATGAATAATTTTTGATTGGCTCTCGGCCATAAAAAGTCATATGATCTAAAACAGCTGTCTATATATAATGAGATGTCACTCGACATTCAGACTTGTAATTTATCATTATGGACGAGAAACACCGTAGGCGAAGAGACAAAGATCACGAAGAACATAGAAGGAAATCCTCGAAACGTAGTGCATCTTTTTCTGGGGACGATAGAAAATCTAAAAGAACCAAGGAGGAAAAAAAGAAGGAATCAAAAAGATCTAAAAAGGTATTTTAAATATTTAAAAATATTTTTACGTGTTATTATTTTAATAATGACAAAAAAAGAATAATTAATTTTAGTTTATTTATTATTTTTTTTTTTTGACAAAAGGATCATGAAACAATACAGGACAAATCATCATATATGGAATTGACTTCTTATTCAAATATCGAGAATCCATTTAACGATGACAATCTCGGTGAAAAATTTGAATGGACCAAGAAAAAGGATAGAGAAAAGAAATTAGGAATATCACCCGAAGAAGCTTTACGCAAAGATAGAGAACGACGACAAGAAGCACAGGTTTTTAGTTATTTCAACAATTGTTTGAATTATTATTGACTTGTATAATTGTGAATTAAATTAAAATATTTTTTGATTTTTTTTTTTTTTATATTATTTGAAAGCTTGAACTTGAGAAGCTTAACAAACGAAGAATTGAACGTGAAAAAGAACAACTTTTGAGAGAGGAAGAACTTGTCTGCATAAAAATAATATGATAAATTATATTATTTGTATATAGCATCTAATGATATTATAATGTTTAATCAACAATAGTCACGTTTACAACGAGAAGCTGAAGTTGCGGCAATGGGTGATTGGGGATCAAAAGAAGACGAAGTAAATATAATATGATTTAAAACCTACTTTGAAATATGCATAATAATAATAATAATAATAATAATAATAATAATAATAATAAATGTTATTATTATTATTATAGTTTCATCTTGAACAAGATAAAAGACGTGCTGAAATCAGAATTAAAGAAAACCGCGCGAAACCAATTGATATTCTCGCTATCAATTTACGTTTAGCAGATGAATCAGATGATGTTGATGAGGCCTTGGAAATTGATGTGGATGAACCATATACTATTTTTGAGGTACTAATTTTGAAATACTTTACCTTACATAACATAAAAAAATGTTAATTTATTAATTTTATACATGTTTTTTTAGAATCTTTCTTTAAAAGAAGTTGAAGAATTGCATCAAGATATTCAAAGATATTTAAGCCTTGAAAGAAATAGAAACAATCTTGATTTTTGGAGGGTAATGATATCATTAATAACATTTACTAATAATAATTAGTGACTTTTGATTCTAATATTAATTTAATATTTCAATGTTTCTCTAAAAGGCAATGATTGTAGTATGTGATGATAAATTATCCGAGCTTCAAGAGGATGAAAAAAATGCTGCCGCGAATGTTATTGCACCTGTTAAGGAAGATATAAATAATATGTTAGCAGGAAAGACTTATGAACAATTAAACAAATTACAAGCACAAATTCAACAAAAATTATCAGGAAATGAACCTGTAGAAGTTGAATTTTGGGAGCAACAGTTAAAAGCATTGACAGTATGGAAAGCGAAGGTATTTCATAATTAATGTGGATATGTGGATAATGAAGATCAATGTCAATATAATATTCATGACTATATATTTATATAATTTTATTTTCACAACAGGCAAAATTGAAGTCGATGCATGAAATTGTTTTGCAAAAAAGACTTGAACAACTTCGTAGAAAACAAAGACAAGAAGCTATTAAAGTACAAGAAGAATTAGAATCTGCCCTTACATCACATGGCGCACATCACATACATCCTGTCGGACAAGAAACTACAGTTGAAGAAGTTGAAGAAGAAATTCCCGAGCCTGTGGTAGAGGAATATGATCCGTCAATGAGTCCAGAACCTATGCCTAGACTTTCCAGAGAAGATAAACAAAGTGAAGTCATTGATCCTGAAGAGGATTGGAAAAACCTTGTAAGATATATCATTCACTAATAAAATTTTTATAAGAGTTTTTATCTTTTATTTTATTTTTTATTTTTACTTTTAATAATATCATATCTTAAATTTAAAATTCAATAAAATTTAGATAGAAAAACGTCAAGAAGTATTACGGAATCAATTTATACCTATGAAGGTTCAGCCAAAGAAACCATCTCCTGAAGATGAGGAAGAATCATTGGTAAATTTCTTCGAGATAGAAGTATTTAAAAATTTCGAAAAATTTTATTTATTAATTATTTAAAAATGTTTTACAAAGGTTTCTAAAGTATTGTATGAACGTGAAGCAGCCAAAGATTTAGATGAAGATGAAGCAATTTTTAATATTGAAGAAGAATTGGCGAAGACGGTGAGACTTTTGACTTTTTTATATACTTTTTGTTTTTTGTTACATGTACTCATAATGGAAAAATTATTTTAGACCTATCTTTGGCAAGATAAATATCGTCCACGTAAACCGCGTTATTTTAATCGTGTTCATACTGGTTATGAGTGGAACAAATATAATCAAACTCATTATGATAGTGATAATCCTCCACCAAAAGTTGTTCAAGGATATAAATTTAACATTTTTTATCCAGATCTAATTGATAAAACAAAAGCACCAACATATAGAATAGAAAGAGAAACTGGAAACAATGACACTGTATTAATTCGTTTTATTGCTGGTCCCCCATATGAAGTATGTGTATTGATTATTTTTATTTATTTATTTATTTATTTATTTCAAAGATTTGAAAAGAATTAAAAATTAATTTAATTAATTCTTTCATTGATTATTGATTATTGATCATTGATTATCAGGATATTGCTTTTCGAATCGTTAACCGGGAATGGGAATATTCACATAAAAAAGGATTTAAGTCTAGTTTTGACCGAGGAGTTTTACAACTACATTTCCATTTCAAGCGTCATTATTATAGACGTTAATTCTATTTTATTATTATTTTAATGGGAATTTTTAGAATTTTGCATATGTAAGTTTCTATTATTTAATTGGATCGTCCATTCATAAAGTATTTGTTTTTAATATCTCCATATTTGGAAAAGAGTATCGTATTAATGAAACACAAAATATACTTTTCCCAAATCGTCAATTTCACGTGACTTGATAACGCGACTTCAAGAAAAACATATCTGTAAAAAAAACTTTTTCTTTTTTTTTTTTTTTTTTTTTTTTTTTTTTTTTTTTTTTTTTTTTTTTTTTTTTTTTTTTTTTTTTTTTTT